ATATCAATAAATATGGTGGCATCTGGCAGGTAAAATGTTGTAATAATGCTCTGGGTGCTACTTCTCTCCCACTAATGTGTTGGACAGTTTAGATTAACACCATATGCCTGCTCATAGAATGAGCTGGAAACCAATGTAAATACAGAGAGAGAGTTCATTTCTCAGCCTTGTTTTCCCTGCATTCCTGCCATCTCTGGACTATGGGTTGGTGGTATATACAGAAAATGAAAGAGGAGGAAGAGAGCCCCCGGAACAGGTGGAAACATGGAGTCAACAGAACTGCAGGGAGAAAGAGAGAAGGCAAGACAGGGAAAGAATTATAGAGAAATTATGGGAAATGGGGAGGGCAGGATAATTTTTGGTAGAATAAACAGACAAGGGGGATTGTCCAGTGATGCTGAGGAGAAGATGGTGTTCAAAAGTGACGGCAGAAAGTCATAAGGAGAAACGGGTCTTGTGGAGATGTGGTAAAGAAAATGGGAAAGATGAATTATCTCTGTGTCTAGAGACACACAGGTAATGGTAATGACACAGGAGGGAGATCTGGAGTGAAAGGAAAAGAATCAGGCAAGCATGAGCATCAGCAAAGTTATTACTCCTGGTTAGAGAGCCAGAACTGAAACCTATGTGTCATGCTGCTCCTATTGCTGTGCCACAATGTGAGGTACAGTAAAGGAAAAGAAGGGACGCAAACAACTTGGCTTTTAAGTCTACATGTTAGACTTCAATCCAAGCTTGAATCGAGCTCTCCTTTAGCTGCTTCTTAGCTTTAAATGGACAAATAGGTGTGGCTTAGCTGTCCACAGTGCAGATGATAAGTTTGCAACCTCATCAAAGAATAGCAGGTGTATTTAGGGAAGCTCTTGCAGCTGCTTTCTGACAGATTGAGGCTTTCATTCTCTCCTGTATCCTCTTCATGTCCCCTTCCCGACTCCTGAACTTGACTTGCTTTGCCCTCGCCTGCTTTGCTGAGCCAGACTGCCTACACCTCACCTTGTCCACAGTGTTTCTCTAATGGGGGCTAACAGCAGTCCATGGCAATGAATTCTTATAAACTAGGTGCAACTAAAGTTCTCTTTTCCTTTGGGAAATATTTATAGATAGAGATTGTTGCATAGCATCTGTAGTTTCTGAGTATCCATATGCAGGATGAATTAGTCAAAAATTACTCCCTGACTCTGTGTTTACACTGTAGTCTTCTTGGCAGAAAAGACTGTTTACTTATTTGTAGCAGTATAGCAAGACCTTTACCCTATTGTTTGCAAGCTTTAGCCAGCCAGATGAGAAATAAAACTGATTTAAAATTAATACTTGTACCAAGCTCATCTATGACTGAATTAAATTACAGCTTCAGAAATGAGTATCAGAATTAGCTTGCACTGTGCTTCATTGTCACTATTGTATTAAGATTTATGATGTTAGACCTGTCCATTTAGACATACATACCTCTCCGTCAGCAGACAAGTTACGGAATTACAGGGACACACACTGAGATTCAGATGGAACTCCAGAAAATTGGCTCCAAACAATTTCTATGGATTGGCTTCTTTAGATAAAGGGCAGTGATGAATGCTCTGTTATACCAGAGGCAAAGATGCTTTTGTGAAAAAAATATAAAACCAAATGGATAGTCTGTTTTCTACACAGACAGAGGTATAAAGTCCCCTTACACTGGTTTTTAAGACCAACTCTGGGCTGGTCTGTTTTCATGAAAAAGGTTCCATCTTTTTTCCTCATGGCTTTAGTATTTGCCTAGGACTTATACCAATATTCTTTTCCACCTTTAATCAAGAAATGTGTTCCTACTGGAGGAGAATGCTGGAGTAAATAGCACTGAAGTAAGCAAAATATTTGCAGGTCATCACATTGGTTCCGTTTTTAAAGAAAATATGGTCCAGAAACATTGCAGGCAGATTCACTGCAATCTATCTCTGGTAAAATAATGACAAAATACTCATACTTACTCAATTAAAAATGCCAGAATTCAAACTAAATGTTATTCATAACAAATGGTTCAGCAAGCTGAATCCATGGTGTGACAGTGACAGCTATAAGAAAAATCAGCAATGATATGATTTTTTTTTTCCCCCCTTTCAGAGAATAATGTGTTTTTAATTAGAGGGAATCCAGTTTTCAAAAAAAATCATGGGACATTTCTGTGTAACCAGTCTGTAGCTGCCTGGTCCACTAGTGCCAGCAGGAGTTGAGCATTAAAAGTGGGCCTGTGTCCCAGGGCCTCAAACCCCCAAGCAGGGCATAGCTTCAGCTCCAATGCTGCAGGATTTCCTGGGGAAAAGGTATACTCAAAATAAAAACTGTTTAGAAGACTATAAATGAGCAGGTCTAAATAATGGTCCAAAATACTACAAACGCTGAAATCTGAGGAAAGTTCAAGCTCAGAGCTGAACTGTAAGAACTGTAATTTTTTTCCTCAAAACTGAAGGAGGGCAGGGATTCAATATTTTCTCTTAATCCTTACTTAGATAAAATGGACTTCCAAAAGTTTGGCTTCAGTTCTAAAGTAGCAGTGAAATGGACACTGAGGAGAATGGAAATGTTTTCTATCAAAGTGGGATAAAGTTGCCTTGCCAAAACTATGCAGCGACATAGCAAGGTACATTATAAACGACTGAGTCGCCTCCTTGGCTGCAAGATTTCTAGCCGAAGACGTCTTACACTTATTTTGATTTCTATGTTCCTGAAGCCAGCAGGACTGTTTCCTAAGACAGTGCATGGGGTAAGGGAAATGACATGAACTGTGCAGCCCTCTCATCAGAGTTTCACAGAGCATAGAGGCTTGCCTGACAACAGAAACAGCAGTTGTAAAAATTATTTACACTCAATATTTCAGGAAATGCTAAGAGAGTTACATCATAATACATTAAAAAAATAGAATAGATAAAAATAAATATGGCTTGATTCTAAATTTTAATCAATTTTCCTTGATTTATTCTCATTTACAGTTTAAACTCTTCTTGCTCTACAACGACAAGTCTTCAATGCCTATGTAAAAACCAAGGGGGAAGCATTAGACCTTAGACAGACAGGACTCCAGGCTGGTGGTTCCCAAGCAAAGAAAATACCAAAGCCAAATCAGAGTTTATATCTCTTCGTTTAGAAAGTGCAGAGGTAATGTTTCCAAGTGAAAGTTTATATCCTACAGTCTTAAAAAATTACTTTGATCCCAGTGACTGTTGGGCTAGGACAGAGTTTGCCTGTTATTTTGTTAAAGATGCATAGATACACACACACAAAGCAACAAAACCGTGCTTAATAGATAACTTCAATAATAGAAGAATTCGAGAATATAACAGATCTTTTTCATAGGAGTGGTCCCATTTACGTCAATGGAATCATTTGCTACGATAAGGGTTTAAAGGATCAAGTCTGTATAACAACCATCTGTGCTCCTTAGGTTTTATCCTCAGATAACATTATTCTCTAGCAACAGAAAGAAAATGCCATGCTGACAGGTAACCCAACCTATTTCCAAACAGCATGCCAAGTCTGACTGCCTGGGTGTGACATTTGACTGCAGTTGCTTTCACACTTTGATTTATTCTGCTACTCTCACCAGTGCCCTGTTTCCCCTGTGCAAATTCCTGCAGACACATTAGCATAGAGACTGTCACACTGCTTGTCCACTTGTCACAGCTGAGCTCTAAGCTATTCAGCCAACACCCTGAGATTGACCCCAGGCAAGGTGTTGGCTTTACATGCTACCTTCTGCACTGAGAAACATGGCAAGAAGACCCTTAGCGCTGTAGCAGTTACTACAGCAGACGCTACAGAACTGCTAATTTTTACTGTGAAAATACATCTTTATTAAGAGACCAAATGCTGAACCTTTTGCAAGTATTTTAAAGTTACGCAAAATAACCTTCACTACAGTATAATATTACTGTTGTTACTATTATACTTAATAAATTAATCAATTTTACAGGTTTTCCCTAATAAATGTTAAAGGGAGACTAAGACCAGAGCCCAGGATTTGGCATTTCCAGTAACCACAAGTAACAGTGGTTTTTAGGCACTATCCTGTCCATGTAATAGCAGTTTCACTGTAAAAATTTATAACCTGTTTCTGATCAAAGTATTGCAAAATCATGATGTAGTTACAAAGATTTTTGTCAGACACAATGTGTCAAGCTTTATTTTAGTTTTATTTTTAATAGCTTAACTTCCAAATCAGAGAGGCATTTTCTTAAAACCAAAGAGGAACAGCTCCCCTTTTGCAACGAGCAGCACAGAGAGAAGGAAACTTACTGACAACATTTGCAAAACATATTTAGGGTCAGCATCATCAAATCTGGCTTGTTAGATGTCTTTGGTAAAGACAAGTCTCCCCAAAAACCCTGTACAGAGAATTAGATTTCTAGGAAAGGGTACCAAAGCTAAGAAATGGGATGCCACCAGATGGAGGAGGACTTAGTTTCCTCTGTATTTTACTCCCCAGAGGTTTCTCGGATGTGAACTTTCTCAAGGAGTCACACATCTGATGCAGTGGGAGAGGATTTCAGAATAATCAGCAGATTCTTCTCAGTCAGAGCAAGAACCTCCTTACCAGCCAAGTGCCCCAAGTAGCTGGTTAACGAGCTGTCCTGGACTGAGACAGGCTCTCTTTCTGCTAGGGCATTTCAACCTGCTCTGACTAGCAAAAGAGTCACTGAAACACATCAAGAAGCATTGCCAGCCTGTTTGGTAGTGGCTCAGGCACTCTCTGGTGTCTGGGAAATTGTGATTCAAGTATCTCTTCCAGAGCGGAGTGGAGAATGTCTTAGGGCACAGAAAATGACAGAGAGGTAAAGTAGTGAGGAGCCAACTCCAACCACTTAGGAGCTTCAGCTTGAGTCAGGGCACTTAGAAGTTAGTTAGCTGGTGATCAGCTTTAAAGCCTGATCCAAAGACACCACAAGGGAACAGCAGGACAGAGTTATCTGTGTAGATGTACTGCAAATCCTCAGCGGTGTCAGGCTGACATGAATCTTCATCTCTTGCAGGAGGATTCCTGCTGCTTTCCAGTAGTGCTGCATCCCAAGGTGGCTTAAAGGAAGAGGTTCATCAAGGAGGGGAAGCAACTAAGGTGAGACAAGAGGAAAAAGACTTCATCACCCAGTGCAAATCTGTTCAGTCAACTCCAGCCAACATGCCTACCTCATTGTAAGAGAAAATGGGGGGAGAAATATGGTGAATAGATTCTGGATTATGTGTTGTGATACTATAACATCAGCATGATATTTCAAGTAGCTTCTGATTAGCATAAATATAAGGTTATCACAGAAAACTGCTGCTGTAAATCTTCACAATTTAACATTGTAATGTTCTTCCTGTTGCCTCCTATGAACAGATCGGTGCAGAAGGGTGCATGCCGTTGGAATGAGATAAATGCTGTGCATGCACACTGTAGCTGAGCTTTCACTATCATGTCTCTGTGGTGCAGAAGAAGGAAATAAACACCAGTAAATAGTAACATTGACTTTCAGAGGAAGAAATGCAGCATGAAGTGATGAAGCTTAGCTAGAATTGGATAAGTTGGACCTAGAGTTGTGTGACGCTCATGGCTTTAGTGTACCTACGCTTCAGTAAATTTTGCCAGCAGGCTGGTTTGCTTTTGCTTGATTTCCCACCAATGATTTTCAGATTTGTGTGTGGGAAAATCAGAGCTAGTGCTGAACCTAGGCAAATTTTGTCCTCTTTTCCCTTGCTCATTATCAGTACACAGTTTATCTCCTGCTGTCTCTGACAGTGTAGGGGAACAATGGTCTTACATATGCTTAGAAGTATCACACAAAATGTTTTAAGAGCAAACAAGGAAAAAGACCTAGTACTGACTTAATATGACCTACTGCCACAGCAATTCCAAGGTCATTTACCTGTGCCTAGAGAGAAAATAGAATTTTTTCTAGATGAAGGACTTGGATGGCTGGTGGGATCTTGAAAGCTGCAGATCCATGCCTGCCAGCCATGAGCTTTGCTTTGTAAATACATTCCTCCCATCTACCAAAGAGCAGGCCATGGTTATTGTTTCAGGTTGGGTAGCATAGAGTCACCTCTGCACAGAGCTGTGCCAGGGTTACAAAAGGTGGCAATACCATGCGTTTAGTTAAATTGTTTTTTGCATGGAAACATAATGATTTAAACCAGAGTTATATTGGATCACGTGAGGGCTGGATCTGGTGAGATTACCATCAGTGCCCACTCACTCCATTGCACTAACAGAACTCTCACATCAACTCCTTATAGGTTCTATGTATAGAGAACCTTTTCTCCGAAACTCCTGTTCTGGCCCTACAGGCCAGAAACGTGACTGGAGACTGTCACAGGTGAGACATAGTGGCTGGTGTAATGCAGCGTTCTGACATGAGTGTTAAGTAGATTCAGCATGTCTCTTGGAATAATTTAGCACCCCATGTGTAGTGATTAGTGCCGCTGTATCCTGAAGTGGTGGCTTCTGCTTTCCCAACACAGACTTTGTTCCACCCGCTGCTCATGTCCCAGACTCACAGCCCTGTATGATCAAGAAGGTGGAAGAATGTTCTGTCTTCTGGCAGCTGCTGATGGGTAAGTATTGCAGTTACCAGCCTGCTAGAGCAGCTTCAGTAACTAATGGCACTTCAAATCATCATGCTTTTTGTCAAATGATTATATCATGCACTTTGCTTGTGCAAAAAGCACTGTTCAGTGAGAGATGTAACCACTGGAAAGAACATTTTTAAAAGAATGTTTATATTTCCTAAGAATTAGAGAAAGCATATGACATTTTCTTGTACCTATAAAACAAAGTCAAATAAGGTATTACGGCAATAACAGTGTCAAAATCTTGAAAAATGAACATGAAAGCTCACCTTTATCAAATCATTCAAATTCCAAATTTTCTGTGGGAGCCAGCCTAGGCTTTAAGATGCATCATTTGTGCAAGAGAGAATAATTATTATTCACCTCTTTTTCTGAAAATTAAACCAAAAAGATGCACACAGGTAGACAAGTTTTCCTGTATCCTTTACTACAGGAACTGAATGCACTGATTATATGAAATGTGAATTGTTTTCCCAGCCACTCCCCACTGCGTGGAGAGCAATTCAAATCATGTTTTCTTGAATGTTTAGCAGCTGGCAATTGCTGGCTGCAGACCACCTGCCAAGAAGACACTTTGCATACAAACACATTATACAGTATTATACACCTACTTACATGCACAGAACAGAATAGGTCATGTTTATCCCTATGTTAAATATATCTGCTTTCACAGTGCTGAAATGAAGCATCTTCACTAGGCAATTGCTTCAGCAATAACTTTGCCACTATTACTGACTTTGCAAGATATGTTTCTTGGAGAATGGACAGTTGCTTCCAGTATCTTTGTCTACTGTGAGTGCAGCAATAAAAAGAATTGATCAGATGAGTAATGAAAACGCAGTACAAGTTTCTACCTTGACCATTCTAGCAATATAGACAGGATAGATGTATTCTCTCTGTCTGATCACCCCAAGGATATGGATCTCCTGCTGGTATTAGTCTGGTGGGTGCAACAAGTAATTACAATTGCATTTGTTCTGCGATGGTAGTTTCTTTGCTTATTGCTCCTTTTTACCCCACACTGTGAATGGAGCTTGCAAGATCACAGCAAAGCAATGCTGTAGCACCACAGTAGGCATTAAAAGTCCGTATAAGCATACAGGCAATTATCTTGTAGTGCAATGAAGAGGAAACTAAAGTAGCTAGAAGTTGGAAGATGGCTAAGGAAGGAAAAAAAGAGTTCAACATGGAGAAATCTAAAACTTACCTCTTGAGCTTAACTACCTTTCTGAGACAATACCAAGTCCCTCCTTTGGTGGAGGGCCCATAGTGATGGAAAGATCTTCCTCACAATGCTAATACCAGGGCTTTGTGGTGAAGGCAACCTAGCCCAGAGTCACATATCTATCTAAATTATTTCTTAATGTTCAGCAACATTCTCACCTTATGGTGTTCAGGACCCTGGCTGAAGGCTAAATTGTAGTGGAAGATGTGACCTGCTCCAGAAGTGGTGGTAGAAGTCATTGCACCTCAGTAACTGACTGTCCTGGTTACTGCTCCCAGAGGTTCCAGGGTAATTGTACTGAACTGTCAGCTTTTACTTTGCCTTCAGAAAAAGTAGCCTGCATATATGCACAGTCCTGCAGCTCCCTGCTCTAGCACACATGTGAGGGACTCTCCACTGCCCGATTCATCAGCTAGCACAGCACCTACGACAGGATCCAGCCAGCTGCAGGACTATGATTCTTTGATACGGAAATATTAACAACGTACTGGGTCCCCTTGGTACTTTCCCCACCACCTTGACATACAACACCTAGGGAAGCCACAATTTGGATATGGATTGGTATGTAAAACTGCAACAAATTGCTGTCAATAATAATTTTTAAAATGGGTGAAATACACACTATGAATAGGAAATAAGATTGGAGGTGACACTTAGACCAGGAGGCCTTTTTCAGGCTGTGGAAAAAAATAGAACACAGTTATTTTTCCCATAGCCTGGAGAAGGCCTCATGTCCTAAATGTCATCTCTAATCTTGTTTTCTATTTCTAGTGTATATTACACTGCACTGTTAGTGCCACTATAGTTAAAGCAGTGTCAGTGTTTCCATTATAAACCCCTATTTTCAGAGATTTGTAACTCAACCATAAAAATTGTGCTCTGAGCTGAAACTTGGCGTACAAATGAGTTCTTCCTATAATTCAAAAAAAGAATTATATTTTTAAAACAAAATTTTGCAAGCCATTAGGCTATAAGAGAAATGGACAATGCATAGAGCTGGAAATTACTCAAAAAATATTGTTAATAACTTATCGGGAGAATTCTAAGCTTTTTTAAAAACATTCCAAACACAGATATACTACAGTGGCATTTTCTTTTTTAAGAATGAATAGTTACACAGTCAGGTCAAATCGTTTGTGTTTGAAAACTGTGAGTAAATATTTATAGGACTGGGTCAATAATCTGCATTTTATAAAGGCTCTGAAGTGCATACTTACATGATAAAATGCAACAACACTGCATCACAGAGAAATAAATCAATAATGTGCTTTCAGAAAACTTCATAAATGTAGTTATACGGGCCAATAACCTGCAAGTTTTTTTCACATGAAAAGGGCCTCTGTTTCACTAAGAAAACCTTATTCATGAAGAAATAATCAGATCTATTTAATCCGTCTTTCCTTTTTCCATGTGTTGTGGTAATGCGAGAGTTATATATATAGTTTGGCTAAGATAGGAAAGATATGATAGATGGCTACTGAGGTTTGAAGAGCACACTATAAGATTTTGGAAGAACTATTTAAAGTGAGACAAAGGCATTCTGGCAAGGATGTAGTAATATCATAAAATTATGACTACTGGAAAATAACAACCAGAAAATCCCGCCAGATGACTGAGGAGCTGACAAACACGGGAAAACCCCATGATTTGGAACGTAAAAAATAATACTGGAGCAAATAATAGAAAAATATATTTGACAGGGAAATAGCACTATTAGTATGGATTTAATACCCAAAAGTACTTTGCACTTATTTTTCATGCTGAAAGACACCACCGTTTTAGTAGACTAAGACTTTGATTTTACAACTGGATCTTCACCAATGAATCTCTTTAGAAAGTTTTCTGGAGAGAAATATCTGACTCAGAATGTACATATGGAGCAAAAGATTGCAGTAATTTTCTTCACGGAGGTCTAAATAAAAACTGTGAATGTTAATCACATTGGGAGTACTGCGAAATTAGCTCAAGAGGCAATCCAGAAGTGCTAATAAAACCAAATAATAAATTTCTCATCATACCAAACTAGGTAAAGACATCTTTGATTTAGGGTGTGTTTATATCTATATATTCTGTTGACCTCTAACACATCAATAATTGTACTACAATTTAATAGCAAGGAAGACAATTATCATTACTCTTTTTCATAGCCTGGCTTGAATTTTGATGTGAATTAGCCCTGCTTCAGGTATTCTAATTAATTTATTATAGATGACAATTTTCTAATAATGCTACTGTAGCTTCAGTTCATACCTTTAGTTTTATAACCCCAATTTAAATGTTATGGGGCATCCTTTTATAATCCCTAGAAAAAAAAAAAGTCTATTAAAGTCACTAAGAATCACCTGAAACCTGGTCCAAATCCTGCTCTCTCTCTTGCAGTTAATTAATCAGGAATGATTTTTTACTCCCCCCAAAACTCCAAT